GTGCCAGTGTGAAGGTAGTCTAATCGTCGGCCTACCCCAGTGCAGATCCTTAGGCGTTGCTTCCAAGAGAGAGAAGAGTGATAATCACTCTCTCTACTGAGTCCGAAGAGATGGTCAGCCAATGTGCCACTAGGAACATATTCATAGATAAGGATCATTTCTTGGCACTCATTGCAGTATCCGATTAAAGAAATGAGATTAGTATGTTGGAGCTTCGAAAGGGTTTCGACCTCTGTCCAAAACTCACGTGCCCCTTGCTTGGAATTGGATTTTAATCGCTTTATGGCAACAATCTGTTGCCCCTTACTAATGAATCCTCTGTAGACTTTACCAAATCCACCCTTCCCAATAACTAGTGCTTCATTGAAATTCTCAGTGGCTGATTGGATCTCAGTGAACTTAAAAGGACGACATAGTTTTCCAGTCAAGGCTGAAGGTTCATATCCACAGTCGGTAGGGTTAGCTTCCCAAATTTTCCGCAACTTATAAGTAATGATGTTGACAAGGGAGATTACAATTACTGCGCCAGTAGCAATTGCATTTCCAAAACCAAAAAATGACAGTAAATTTAGCACTGTAATGGATTTTGAAGATCGTCCGGGAGGGGAGGGGTTTGGATTTGCAAGACTGTTATCGTGGTTGCTCAATTTCAATATCTCCAATCCTTTAAAGAGTTCACTTACCAATTCATCCTTTGATTGCAGGGAAATCGTTAGATCACGCCTGCCCACTTCTTTGTGTCCTTTCACCATCACCATGTAGTCTCTGTACAAATGGATTCCACTGATGACGCTCCTCTCTTTGCCTATATCAACATTAATTTCTGCAGTCATGTCATTTATGAAGACACTGAATATGCTGTTTCTGTTCTCTGCCATCAGAAGTCCCCTCTCGCAGAAATGAAGCCTGACCAAGTATCCGAATCCTACATCCACAGATGTTTTCCAGGTAAAATCTTTGATCTTTTCATCTGGAACTGTTGCCCATTTCCCAAACATGCCAAGATAAGGAATAGGGTCACACCTGAAATTTAATCGCTGCATCATTTCAAGTGCAGTGCTGTTATCGATATAGAATCGAGACTTATGGCCAACCACTCGGGCTCCAAGATCATCAGCATGAGAGTAATAAAGACCACTAGGCATGGATATTAACTCTATTCCATTTATAAAAGCATATGTTTTATCAGATTGACTATGTTCAGGAGAGAAAATTATACTCAAGGGTTGATTCTGTTCTATATTCATGCAGTACTCCTTGACAAAAGACTTCACGTCGAGGGCATCAGCAGTTAGTGAAGGGCTAAAGTTTTTGAGGAGGGTGAAAGCCCCAGCTTC